GTTTGTGTTTGTTATTTATTTTGGGCGTGATTACATAAAGAATGCAGAGATAGAAGAGATGAGTTCAGGAAGAGAACAACCGAATGAAAGACTCAATGTAGGTTTCTCTTGAAGAGATGAGTTCAAAGTAGTAATGCCCCTTACAGTCCAAAATTAGAATATTACATAATTGATGTCACATTTGAGTAGCCATGTTAATTTTTTAGCCATTTACAGAATGCAACAACAGAGGCATCCATTTGCAGACTTGAGGTTGTTGAATGAAATTTTAGTTTTTTTTATTATACATTATTCTTTTTGTATGGGTAGTATGAAAAGCGAGTAATTTCTTTATAAAACGATATAGCAGGAGTGGATAAAAGCTATGGTCTTCGAAGGGTACTTTTCAAATTCACATTTTCCTTCTTGGGTTTTGTGTTATTTGTATGTTATTGTGTTAAGGGTATAATCGTATTTTCCATATTTCATGTTGATCAGGCTTTAAGGCAGACATCAGACTGGTTTAGTAGAATTTTGAATCACACAAAAGTAATAAGTAAATATAATATTATCTATTAAAAACAACTATAAGTATTTTAGTAGAGTTAAAACTAATATAAGAATATATTTGTGTTTTGTTTTTATAGACCTGCATCAACATTGTAATCAATATGGGACGAAAAAACGCCAAATTGTGGACATTATGCATCTAATACAACGAACACGTGTAACTTGAATTTTGCACTTATCATTCTTTTCACATGTTTAATGTTTATTTGGTGTTTTTTTATATATCAATGTACTTTCATGTGTGTTTTCAATTTCATCTTTAGTGTAATTTACTCTTACTTCTGTTACCTTTTCTAAAATACATATCTCAAATTATTTTTTAAAATCATTTTGTTGGTATCAGAAACTACTATAAGGTATTACATATATGATATCATATTTTACTAATATACTACTTACTATGTAACTAAATTTCTGACCAAAGACCCCTTCATTTATTATCTCTATTTCTTGCAGGGACCAAAGAAAAAAGAAAGAGAAGTTGGAGGGGTAAAAATAGAGCTAATATAAACCCTATGTTGCTAATATAGTTGTTGCTATGTAACTGATATGAACATCATTAGCGCAAGAGTTAGAAATTCAAAATCTGATCTTTGACTTTTTGACCAGATAATATTTAGTTTTTTGCATACATAAATTGATTGGACATATTGCGGCAAGGCTTGGACAACTTAAAATTCAACATTCGACCATAATCACCATATATATATATATATATATATATATATATATATATATATATATATATATATATATATATATATATATATATATATTGTATTCTAACTTATTATTATATGGATTTAGAAATGATTGTGGACCAATTATTTTAGTTATTTTAAGAAAATGATTAATAAATACTTTTGAATTAAAGATAATTGAAAAATATCATCTAATTCCATTGTAAGGGTATTTTAGTCAATTACATATGTTTAAAAAAGAAAATTTGCGGATTTTAGGGAATAATTAATTCTCTTTAACCATAAAAATATGATTTTTCTGGATAATAATTCTATTAATTCGGACATTCTAACAGAATGTGTTTATGATTATTTTGAAAAAAAACATTCCATTATGACAGAAGACTATAAACATATATTATCAAGACCAATAATTTTTAATAAATACATATTTTTATATGAAACGAATTTTAATATTTTAGAATAGGTAATTACATTCACTCTTAAAGAATACAACAATGAATATAAATTATAATCATTCTTGAAATCTCTTGCAAAAAACTATCGTCATTCTTGAAAGAATACCCATTCACCTTCTTGTTTCGTTTCCAGATGTCATGTGTATCGTTGACCTCTAAGCCACTTTAAAATACGTTAGCATTCTGTGAGATTGACATATTGTGAGATTGACATTCATTCAGAATTGCATTGTATAAGAATGGCTTTATATAAGGAGCTACAGAAGGAGATAAACTCAATGATGGTAAGTGATTCTTAGGTAAAACTTGAAACTTCTGAAAAGTATAAGAAACAAATATGATGATAAAATTAAGCCAATTGCAAGAGAACCCTGGAAAAATCATTCTTATGTGATTCTACCATCATCATTCTTATGTGATTATACCAGAAATACAATTCTAGCAGAATCATTCTTATGTGATTTTGCAAGAATATAATACTCTTTACACATTATTCAAATAGAAGTATACATTAGATGTAAAATATTCTTAAAGAATGAAAGAGTTGAAGATGAGAATAACACTCGATGATAAGGTTAGAAAGTTATTCTCATAGAATTAGATTAATTAGGTTAAAGGGAATACACTATGGAATTCATTCAAATTTCACAAAAATAAAGCCATTAAAAACCATATATATATATATATATATATATATATATATATATATATATATATATATATATATATATATATAACAGTAAAATCAAATAATCATTTTCTTTCATTTCAACCAACAACCATAAGATTACCAAATGACATTTTAGCTTCAAATGGTTAAAAATGAACCAAATTATTGAGTTATGTAATCACTTGGTGCTTTGCCAAATGTGTCATTGGACAGAAGCTGTATGTCATAATTCATAATGAGAAAGAATAACATGGTTATTAGTAATAATGGTAGAAGAAGGAAAGAATCTTCGAGTATTATACCACTAGGTCCACAATGGAAGGTAATGAGCAACAAACAAGCACCATAGATCTTGTAGGAAGTGCTTGGAATAACCTTCGTTACATAAGTTGGACATTTCACTTTTAACATGATATAGACTGTGAATAGTGACGCCCTGTATCATGGAGGCATGATTGTTGGCAAATTGATACTCAATATATATGGATATAACATCATCATTTATAATGAGAACTTTTCGAAGATTATTTACAAAAACCAAATATACATACAGGCATTCAACTACCATTGAATAAAAATAAACAACTAATTACATGTTCTTGTAGTCGGTAGTCCCATGTGACAAAATCTGATTTGAAATTATATATGAAACCAAAGACTACAAGAAAATACATTCACCTAGAAAGAGTTTGTACAAAGAACGCATCATTTTGTATTCATCTAGACTATTGTATGAATAATACTTGCTACATTTGTTTTAAGAATCCAAACTATAACAGACTAGGATTGAAAGAAGTGAAGAATGAATAAGGAAAAAAAATGAACTTCTGGCCTTGTTCAATGACTGTCCAATGGTTCAACATCTTCGACTAAACAACGGTACTTTGGTGCATTGACGATTCATCGACGACGTCTCAACAAGGTCTTGTGGTTGACCGACGAGGGTGATGTTTGATTAGGGTTGGATTAATGGCGACTAGAGTTTTCTTAACATAAAAGAAATGGGAAAAAAAGAAGGTTCCGTAATACCGGACTTCAATCGACGGTTTACGGTGACGAAGTTGAAGTGACGACCGACGATCGCATCAATTTAGGGCTCCGACATGGTGGCTATGACGAAACTAACATCGTTTGGCTGAGCGACAACCTTTCAAAGTGGCTAAATATAACAATGATGATGACCTTTCAAAGAGACCGAAGGTGAAGCTAGCACTCGATTTATGGTAGATAGAGGCGTATGAATATTAAGAAAAGAGACATATAGGGGGCTGCTTATAGAGTTGAAGGTTGATTTATGGTAACTGTTCCTTGAATCATGGATTTTTCTAAATTAAATATATGTAAAGTTATTAAAATAACCTTTCGAAATGATTGATCCACAATCATTTCTACATCCATACAATAATTCATTAGAATATTTAAGCATCTCTCTCTATCTCTCTCTATCTCTCTCTCTCTCTCTCTCTATATATATATATATATATATATATATATATATATATATATATATATATATATATATATATATAATACTATTATTTATAAATGATTTAGCATTAAACTAGCATTAAATTTGAAAAAATATCATTATTAGGTATATCTTTATCACTACTCACTACGTGGATAGTGTGAATGACTTGAGAATATAATGTACATCTCATATATATTTAATCAATAAACTATTTTTTATATATGATTTATCATTTAACTCTCTTCAATTGTTTAAAAAACAACCATTATGATTGTGTATTGTAAGTAAACGCTAAATTGACATCTATGTGGTTGTGATTGATGTAATATCTAATTGTATACTTATATTACTAGGTGTGAAACCCGTGTATTACACGGATTGGTTTAAAAAAGATTAAACATTAAAGTGTAAATAAAAAATATTTTTTAATATACAACTTTAAAATAAAGAAAAACATATTTATTGCAATTCAATATCTTAATATGATATTTAATACTTTACATATATATAAGTATATGACTTTAATTTTAAAAAGGATGTTGCTAATAAGACCCCCCTTGGACACTCCATTGACCATTTTTTAAAAAGTCAACCAATAATTAACTACTTATAATCAATTTTTCCGGAAAACAATGCAATTTTAGCCAATAAAAATATTTAAAAAATTAATTAAGGTGTTCATATTGCAATATAGGGTGTCTTTTTAGCCAACCCCTTTTAAAAAATAAAACAAACCAAAATTTGATAAGTGGATAATATTTATTTCAAAAATTCATAAAATGACAAGTATCAAAACTCATGAGAAATTGACATGTCGCAAAAAAACCTTCATTTGTTAAGAAAAAAACCTTCATTTGTTAAGGAAGATGTATCAAGCCTTCTAATTCAAACATGAACAAGGTTTCAACAATATCATCTTCTTTTACTTTCTCCAACTTAAATATGAAGGAAAACCCGAATCTCCATACGATTATGGTTTACCCTCTAGAATCATAACATTTTGGACTGAATATGAAAAAGCTGTAGGTTGTGCTCTAACTATATGGTAAGTCATTTTGCGTTCAATTTCGGTTTGTTCTCTCGGATCATACTTCCAACTATAACATTTTTATTTTTGTTTTTTATGTCGTCAAAAAAAAATTGCTTATGTAATTTTTTTTTTTATTTATTATAATATAGAACCAACAAATGAGTGGTATCTCACATGTAAAACCACCTACAAATATAAACCAAATGTAAAATCAGTTACCAACAAAGTTAATCCATGATTCATCATTTACCTATAATGAGATAGATGGCTTACAGCTTACTCATCGAATATAAGTCCATATTTACTCTAGATATGAACACGATAATCAAATCAAAAGTTACCATCATTTAACAATATACAAATCATATGATATGATATCTCTTATGGCTCAACGATAATTTTACCAGTAGCATGTCCATCGATGCTTTTAGCCCAAGCCTCTTCAGCCTTTTTCAAAGGGTGTTTTGAGTCAATGACCGTTTTAACCTTCCCTTCCTTCACCAACCCAACCAAGTACTCCAAGTTCTTTGCCTTGGGATACAAAAGAATCGGCACCAACTGTTTTTTTGAACACGTCACTTTCTTCACAAAAGAAGTCCAAATTGCACTCATGCCAGGTGTTATGTCTATCACCTTCCCTTTTGGGCCAAGATTGGGCTCAAAAGTAGACCATGGAATAGGTGTGGCACAGTGGATCACCACGTCATATTTCTTATCCGAAGGGCTTTTGAGTATCGCCCCTTCTGGGGTTTTGTAGTCGAGAACCTCATCAGCACCTAGGGATTTCACAAGGTCTATGTTGCGGGCCCCACATGTGGCGGTGACGTGGACGTTTCCTAACTTTGCGAGCTGGACGGCGTATTGGCCTACGCCGCCTGACGCGGCGGTGATGAGGATGTTGGTGGCGGGGCTGGGGATGGTTTTGTCGAGGGTGATACCGCCGTGATAGGTGAGGGCTTGGAGGGCGGTTAGTCCGGCGACAGGTAGCCCGGCACCTTCTGCCGCCGATACCTCCGGCGGTCTAGAAACTGTCAGTTTTTCGCTACTCACTGCATATTCCGACAGTCCTCCACCTTTCTGTTAGGTTTCAATGATCAATAAACACCAATTTCACAAAGATGAACACCGATGAGAAACTTACAAAAGTGTTGAGCATGGAGACAACTTTATCACCAATTTTGAAGTTTTTTACTCCAGGTCCAACGTCTAATACTTCTCCTGCTACATCAGTAGCTGTTGTAACAAACACATACACGTTTTTAGATTTTGAAATCATATATTCTGGATTGATTTTACTGCATACATACATACCTGGTATCCAAGGGAATTTGAGTGGTAAAAGGGGGCGTAACATGCCTTTTTGTATCTTCCAATCGACTGGATTTAGGCTAGTTGCCTCCAGTTTTAACAGAAGTTCACCTTTACTTGCCTTAGGAATAGGAACTTCAACATGCTACAAAAACAAGAAGACTTCATCAACATACTTTCAGAAGGTTCACATTTTGCAATCCTCTGAAGCAAATGTAACTTTCCCTTGATATTTATGGTTTCATAAATCATAATCAATCAACACAACACTCTATATTGCAAATCTTCACAAGAATATGGTGACAATAATTTAGTAAACTGATTGATCAATAAAACTGAGAACAGATCACTTAAATTTAATTAAATATATGTAGTTAAAGCCTCTTACAGCCGTGGTTCAAAGTTTCACCAGATTTTCAATCACCTGAAACACATTTATATTCCCTCCCCTTTCTATCTACTGTTGATGATTACTCCATAACGGTGTATAACAATAAATTGCTTACAATTTTCATATGAATTGGTTGATCAATTAAACTGAAACGAAGATCAGTTCAGTTTAATCGAGTATCCATTACTTGTTAATTAATAATTTATAATTCAGTACATCCATAACCATCTGAAGCACAAACTTCCTCTTTCTACCTAGGGTTTGACATCAACCACAATCTAGTAACAGAAATCCATACGAATCAAGTAATCGAACAAAAAGGATGTCTAAAACAATAAGTATCCAGGAATTATTTTATACCTTAAGACCAGCAGCACCTCCTCCATAAGAATCGCACTGAACCGCATGCATAAGCTTTTCCGCCATAACTCCTTAGGCAATAGGCACAGAGAAAAGAGAAGATTAAGATTAAGATGGTTAGCAAGTATTAGTATTAGTGCCGGAGTGTGAATGGAAGGGTAGGTAGAGGCGTTATCGTCGACGTTACCGTTGCGACATATATAGCCATTGATGGTACTGGTAACCGTTAGTGTGTGTCGTTGGACGTGACGACGACCTCTCGTCCACCGGATTAAATAATTTGAAAAAAAGCGATAAATTCTAAGTATTCGTTTTCTTCGGTTCATCCATATCTTGGATCATATGCGAATACCAAAATTGGGTGATCCGGTTTACTAAGATTAACCATTCTTTAGTACATCAATTTTCAAATAGGGTTCATAATAAAAGTTTTGCACAGGCAAATAAGGTTGTCCGGAATATCTAAGACAAAGGGATTCGTGGTCTAAGTGGCAACAGAAAACGATCGTGCACACTACCCGTCAATTCATGGCCAGGGGTATTCGTGGTCCATCGTGATGCAGTCGACGAACGAGCACAACCAATAGCAGCCTTCATTCCCTTTGTAGACGTTCAACAGTCAAAACCTTAAACTTTTTAACTTTTTTTTATTATATTTATATATAAACACATAACAATTATATTTAAACCATTCTCTACTGCACTCTCTTTAAAAAACATATTTATGGAATTCTTTAAGAATTTCGATTCGGATGACAATGGAAATTCATCTCGACGTTCTTCAACGTTGTGCAACACATACACAACGAAGAAAGTTCTTATGTTTCGCATTCAAGAGCGGTTGTCAATCGAGGTCGTCAAGCCGCATATGACTTTTTGGTATCTGATTACTTTGTCGATAATTGTCTTTATAATGATGACTCGTTCAGGCGCCGTTTTTGTCTAAATAAGGCTGTATTTTTAAGTATTAGTAATGTTTTAGATACCCATTAGGGTTATTGTAACATCCTAAAATTTAATTTAAAAATAAAATAAGGATCGTAATGATTAGGATATGTCAAATAACATGTTAGAGGGGAAAATGCAAGTAATGGTAAGAACTAACAAAATGCTCAAACTATAGGGACCATAAGTGAAAATTTAAGAAAATAAGTTGCAAGCATCCTTCCCTCATTCTTGATTCTTGCTAGATGTATTTTGCAAGGAAGAGAGAGAGCTAATGGTGAATGCTTCATTTCTTGTCATTTAGGGCTTGATTCAAGAGGAGAATTTGGCAATCAAGTAAATGAGAGAAGAAATCAAGGCTAGCAAGGTAAAACTCTTCTCCAATACCCTTAAATTCGAAGTTATGAAGAGGGTGAAAACCTAATGTCAAGTTTAGTAGGATATTATGATTAGGGTTTCAATTTCTAACCCTTTTTGGGTGGTTTTAATAGTTCCAATCTCAAATCAATCATTCCATTGATGGTTTTGATGATTTTGGTAAAAAGACCATTAAGAACCCTAGAATCTCAAAGTGAAAGATATTGTATTTGAATGTGAAGTTATGATAGATTCAATGACCTAGATGATGTTTGACAACAAGAAACCCAATGGGAATGATCAAACTCGTCCATGATGGTAGAATCATGTATAAGCTTGAATGGAAATGGATTTGAGGATATTAAGATGAAAACCATATAATTCATTGTAATTAAACAAGTGATAAGTAAAGGAAGTTCATAATCATGAATGAATAGTCTTAAGATGGATTTAACTTAAAACACAAGGTATTAATTGATTCTTAGATTGAAATATGGAGTTATTGGCCTTAAGGGTAATTTGGGAATATGGAATGGAATAGATGATTCCAAAGTTATACTAGTTGTTTGCAATGATAATTGTTGTGATAAAAATGTACCTAGAAATACTCATTTGAGTATTTATTGAGTTAGGGACAAATATTGTGAACTTTGGAATGTTCAAAGGAACAATTAACAAGTTAGCCTTCCTTATGGAATTTGAAGATTTGTTGATCTAATGAAGTTTAATAAGCACTTAATGGGTTAAGAGGAGTATTTTAAGATGATAAAACACTTCCTAATCATGTGTAAGAACCTTTATAAATGTCACAAAGTGAATTGGAAAGAGTCTTCATAAACTATGCAAAGTAGGATTCCTTTGTGAGAAAATCCAGATTAGGAAGGGGGCATTTGTGTAAACACGACCCGTGTTAACTCAAGGCATAAAATGGACATGGGTCGTGTTTGGCCCTGGTAGAAACACTTTTGCCTAACTCTACTTTGACTCATCCGTTTGACCTAATTCCAATTGCATTAGTTAAATATAGATGAAAATTGATATTTAGAAGAAGTTAAAACTTTTTTATGACTCTCAAGGGTATTTTGGTCAATTTTGTTGATCTTCGGCTATATTGTGCATATAGGTTGTGTCTAAGGGTAGAGTACTTACGAAGTTGAGCTAGAAGGATAGTAATCTACATTGGAGAACTAGGTGAGTACGTGTGGACTTTTTCCCACTTTGGGGTACATGGCTAAATGTTAAACTGCCTTACGGAAATTGCTTTGAAAATAAAGTGTGTCTTTGGAATACGTTCACCGGTGTTTGTGAACGATCTGTTCACTGGTGTACTCCATCCCCCACATGGTTTCCTTAAGGACATTTATTGTTGAGGAATCCCCTTAGCATTAGTGTCCATCCCGATGTTGATCGTTAGTCTAGGTCCCATATGATAGGTGTTTTAGGGACGTAATGTGAGGATAACGGGAATGAGTAATCGGGTTATTATTGGTTGATGAAATAACTAAACTTATTTATTGTGGGTTGAAAACCCTATGTGCTCACCAGGCTCCCAAGCCTGACCCACTCAGTTTCATGTATTACAGGTAGTGGCGCTCGAGCATAGATGTGATGTTTTGGATGAGGGATTACGGATATAGGCCTGTAGATATGAAATAATGTAGTAAGGCTTATATTGTACTGTTTATGCTTTTGATCTGTATCGAACATGACATCCCGATTCTTTTTAATGAAATACATTTCTACGGAAATGCTTTGATAAATCTTTATCATATTTTATTTTGGGAACAAATTCCGCAACATTTTTATGAAAAATATTACTTTGATTTTCAAACAAGCATAAACAAAATCGATCTTTTCTGGCCGTGAAAAATGAGGATGTCACAGTTGGTATCAGAGCATTAGTTTAAGCGAACTAGGAATTTGTAGGATCTCTAGACTTAAACTTAGAATGCTAAGCGATAATTGTGAAATGAGAGCACTAGCTTATTTAGGAAAGTATGCCTAATATGCTTTATGTGCTAAATGATTTATGCCTTATATGCTGTCATTTGTTCAGATCTTTGGTCTGTTGCCGACCGGATCTGGAAACCTTATGTGTTTAGGATTCTAAACGTACAACCACGATATTATAACTATCATATAAACCTTTCGAAGAGATAAGGAATATTTTAACGTCTATCCTAAATAAAGATCTAAATTCACCTTATTCGGTGTATAGATCAAAATGGAAAGATCCTGCAGTGAAGCTGGGAATGCAAATGGGAACAGAAATCAACCACCTGTGATTGAACAAATATAGGTTGTGGTAGCCGCTCCTGAGCCAATCACAATGGCTGGAGTACAAGCGATGATCCAAATGATGTTGGATCGTCAAATGGAGGAAACCAAGCGTTTACTCCAACATAGTCGAGAGGAAGCTACTATACCAATCGAACAAACCGAACTGAATGATGGGTTGTCAGAAGAAGGTAACTACAGTGGGACTGTTGGTCAAGCCAACCCACCAATAGTTCGTCGAAACAACCAGGATGGTGGAAATGACGGACGTGGATGCAAGTACAAGGATTTCATGGCAACCAAACCACCGTGTCTATCTGGAAGCCCGACACCAGTGGAAGTCATGAACTGGATCTTCGAGATAGAGACAATGCTTTAGAGTTGCGAGTGTAACAACAGACAGAAGACCGCTCTTGCGGTTCCTTTGTTAAAATCTGGAGTACTGAGCTAGTGGAAGTTACTAGCTGATTCAATGCCCAAGGGTGAAGCGAGCAAGATGTCTTGGGAGGATTTTCTGGTACAACTGAAGATGCAATACTACTCTGAGCAAGATCTTCTGGAAATCAACAATGAGTTCCAAAATCTGAAGAAGTGAATAATGAGTGTTACTGAATACGCTACAAGTTTTACAGAGAAAATGAAGCTTGTTCCGTACCTAGTTCCAACCGAACTCTCCAAGGTTAACAAGTTTACCCTCGAATTACCAGCGGACTTTGGTCCAATGATCAAGCAAGCAACCACTCTAAAAGCCGTCATCTGGGCTGCTAAGAGTGTGGAGACCCAGATACGAGAAAAAGGTTTGGAGAGATTGGAGGTTGGAGAGAAAAGGAAATTTGATGGATCCTCGAGGTCCAGCAAGAAGAGTAAATTCTTGAAGTCTGTTTCGAGAAGAGGAGGAACCGAAGCAAAATGGTGCGAAAAATGCAAGAAGAAGCACCAAGGAAAATGTGACAGAGGGGTCACATGTTTTAAGTGTAGAAAGCCTGGGCCCTATGCCAACGAGTGCACGTTCACTAAGAAGGTATGTTATGAGTGCAACGAGGAAGGGCACATTTCGAGGGACTACCCGAAGAAGAAGGAGGCAGCAAGACCCAACATTCCACTGAAGCCTAAGGGAAGAGCCTTCCAGATGACGCTCGGGGCTGCGAAGGAGGCAACAGACGTCGGTTCAGGTACCTTTCTTGTAAATGGTTTTCCTACCAATATACTATTTGATTCCGGAGCAAACTACTCCTTTGTGTCACATAAGTTTGGTGGGAAACTAGCATTACCCGTAGAAAAACTTGATAATGCCTTAGTTGTGGAAGTTGACAGTGGTAAGTTCGTACCTGTTAGTGACCGTATTAGGAACGTTGTCATCGACCTAAACGGAATTGAATTCCACGAGGAGCTGTTACCCATAGAGCAAAACGGTTTTGAAATCATTTTGGGAATGGATTGGCTTAGCACCAATGATGTTGAGATTCTTTGCAGGAAGAAGATAGTAAGGGTGAACCCACTTGGAAAAGATTCATTTATGGTGTACGGGGACAAACGCAAAGTGAATTCTGGAATCATCTCCCTGATGAAAACCATAAAATGTTTGTCCAAGGGATGTGCATCATACTTGGCATTTGTTATCGATGTTAAGAAGGAAAAGAAGGAGGTGCAGAATATATCGGTCGTGTGTGATTATCCGGAAGTCTTTCCCGAAGATCTTCTCGGATTACCACCCGATAGACAAGTAGAATTCTGAATAGACTTGTTACCAGGGACGACACCAATAGCAAAAGCACCATACCGGCTAGCACCGACGGAGATGAAGGAACTTATGACGCAACTTCAGGAGTTGTTGGACAATGGTTTCATTC